TTATTTATCATAGGCTTACTCATATACCAAATCCTTAAAATAAAAATGTGATAACTAATATCATTGAACACAAACCAACATCCAAAACTATACACATTTTTAACATAGATAATTTACACATTGACTGTTTACAATTAACATATGTTCTTCTTCTCACTTTTAATTTTTGCTTCGCAACGGGAAAAATCTGTTTCATAATCATTGAAATAGATTTATAATACATTTTTATATAATAGTATAGATCATAGTATAGAATCTATCATAAAGTTTAAGATTAAATAAACCTACTACATAGTTGTTTAATTTTTTTGGATCAGCTGTCTGAAATTATGAAATAAGCATTTGACAGTTCTGGTTGTTTACATTTAAATGTCAAAGCAAATGTAAACATTGTGAATTTTCTCATGCTTCCATGGAGACCAATTATTAATATTTAATTTCTGACAACAGCTGGAGTTTCAAAACAATGTTTGTTTCCCATGTTAATCTTATGGAGAAATACGAAACTTTAAAGGGCCCCAGGGCCTCACTCTCTAATTATTTCCCCAAAAAGAAAGTTTCCTGCACAACTTCACGTTACGTTCTTTCCAATGACACCAAAAACATGTCAATCGGTTCAGTAGTTTCGGAGGAGTAATTGTCACAAAAATTCTGCTTGTGTATTAAATAAGTATAGATGTTAACATTTCAGTAACTGCTTATTTTATCATGATTTCTTTTATAAATATACTGACAGCCTCTTTTAACCTCTCGTTGCCCTTCTACATAGGCTATAGACCTGTGCGTTGAACATATCTAGCAAAGCAAGGGGTGAAACAGTGCAGTACAAGAGTGAACTGTACTGATAAAAAGTGGAATGATAAAGCAGTGGCAGGTACCAGGATCCGAACCCACGACATCACAGCCTTTACTTAGGCCCGATTCCTGTGGCCGACTGAGCCACCGACTCACAAAAAAAAAAAAGCTCATACAATAAGCAAAGTTTATGAGATTTGAGTAACCGTAGACCTTTCTCATAAGCAATTTTAAACTCGTCAACTATAATTCAAGCTTCCATGATTGTTTTACATTTAAATGTCTCGTTTGAATAATAATACATAACAATTGTGGTGAATCTACAAATCACTAATAGGTACTACTTGGCAAAGTTTAAGCTAACTTGTACAATTTTTATTTTTTAAATCTTCTATTCTTTTTCTAAATTCTGGCGTATTAATAGTTTAGTCTTGACCTTATTTCTTCGAATAAACTTATTTTATTTAATCAAGTTCATGTAGACAATATATTAACGATGGGACGACAAAATACACTTTCATTAAATCACATTCCGTAACTAAACAGTGCTTAAACCAAGAATAAGGCATCCACAGTCAAGCTCAAAATCATAGCTCTACTACAGTATGACGAAGTTGTTCAGTTGGCTACTATGAAATAGTATTGGTAGTAGTGGTGGTAGCTTACTGCCCTGAAGATGACATTTGAGACGAGATCGAAACGTCGGTACACTCTGTGTTATGTGACACAGTTTTACTAATCATTAATCAAAGTTTTAATAATCATAATACGCAATCGACATAATTTTAAAACCTTAACTCTGATCCGGATTTATTTAACAATCTTAAACATTTTTGTATCGCAGTTCACCCAAAAATGTTTGGATATAAATTACAAGTATTTTAAACACAGTCCGATATAAGATAGTTTAGTAGCTCGTACTTTTATATTTTTAATCTAGAGCGATTATAGTCGTAATCATTTAATTTGTTTGGATTGAGGATTAAGCTTCATCTGCAAGTTAGATTAAATGACTTAAGACCCTCGCCTATCATAATTGCCTTCATTTAGATATTATTCAACTCCAAATGGGCCTTTTCTTTATCATTATCACATCGGGAACTATATTTTTTGTGGTTAACATAGTTATTTTAAAATTATGATTACATGGTCAGTTGGTCACCGCAAAAGGTACAGCTGTTTCTAGTTAGTATAAAAAGTTGCAAGGATTTCTCACTCCATTCTACATTCAATCCTTACTCATATTTTGGGTTAAAACGCCCTTTGCGTCCTATATCAATCGGTGACACGAATGAATAATAATGAATAACTTTCAAGTTCAACATGTTGTAAATTACAAGCATGTTTGAACTACTATTGGCAATTAGAAACTTTACATACATTTAATATACAATTAACATTAACAACAACAACAACAACATTAACAATTACATTTAATATCATGAATTATAAAATAATTATCACAGCAATCCTGCAATCTAAAATGAATATCAAAACCATTTGGTGAAATTGTTTCTGTTTCAAATATTTTACTCCGATGAAAACCTAAGTTATATTTATTTATTAAATGTTTCAGATGTTATGATTCATACTGTACGAGTTAGAACGTTACTCATTTACTTATATTTTGAATTGAATATGATGTATGTTTATTGAAAGGATAATGTATTTAAAGTAAAGTGTAGGCATATAGGTCTAGTTACAAACCACCACTAAGCTCTGGAGCTTCATGATGGTTCGAACAGGCAAACGTCACATTAGTTTGCCAGCATACACACGTCTCGAGCAACTTTTAGGTTTTACAGCACCATAAAGGAAACAAAACATGTTATTTATCGATATGAAAAATGTACATTTATATTGTGCTGCAACCGTGTAATGTTATAATTTATCACACCATTTGAATACATATTTCAAACTTTTAACACACGCAGTTACATTCGTCCGGTCCGGTACATTAACATTCCCACGGCTAAAGTCACGTCAGTGACAACAGTGCCGTTGAAAACAATAAGCAGTTCTCTACGATTATCGAACGGCTGTCGGCCAACGACTGCAGTTCCAGCCGCACCAGTGACAATGCACCTTCAGCTACGCTCTCCGCTACACTCTAGCCTGTCGCTCCACTATGTTTTCACCCTTTACAATCAAGTAGGCCTTTCCAAATATATTTGTGTTTGTATTACTACTTCAGTAAATCAATACCAAACATTTAAACTTAAGTTGTAACTCAAGATGCAATTTTGAGGTTGCATGAAGGTGTATCGATTTAGCTTGAATGAACCATGCTAGAAACTATGTAACCCACCTCTCCCACTAACGTTAAAAGACCTATCGATCTTTCCTTAAATACAACCTCTTACGAAAACAGCTCATTGAAAACTATGGCTCGTCCAAGTATTATCGTCTGATATCCAGGTGTGGTGGCTCATATAAAATAAATTCATAATAAAGTCCTGGACACATAGAAGCCCTGGGCAAGTCACGTAGCGTCAGTCAGCTGCTAATCTAGTTATCTGTACGTGACCTCTCCAACCATATCACTTACCGCATTGCCAACCTAGTTTACCAGCTATGTGCAAAATGTTATCGTTCATGCTATGCACATCATTTGGTTAATAATCTAAGGAGAGTTTATACAAGTTTTGGACATTAAACTTTACCGTTTTAACATATTTAAAAACATAATTAGTCTATTTGTTTATGTTAAAAACTTTGTGTTTTGACGTAAAGTAAGATACTAAATTATATTTTACTCCAAAAAAAGCAAATTTTAATATTGTCAAACAAAATATTCCAGACATTGGGTCTTGACAAAGTAAAGCGTGTGTGCTATTTATAAAATCAGTTATTGAAATAACGGGTTATTGCACAGAGAAACAAAGGTTATGTCTAATATTTTTTATAATCTTAATGATTTCATCATCTTTTTATCTTCAGTTTTTTTTTTTGCATTAACTCAAAGGTGTCATAAACACGAAGCCCCGAGTGATAAAAAGAACCTCAACACGGCCTTCATGTCGTAAAGGTTTACTGAACTCTTGAGGTGTTGAGTTTATTGTTGTCAATGTTGAAACATGACAGGTTTTATAAAAGCAGACTACTGTATGTAGAAACTCATAAGAATATTTTCCTTGACAGAACATTTAAATACACAAAAAATATTTCATTGCCGTAATAGTAGTTTACGAAAGCATCACGTAAAGATGGTATTAACGACACGAGTATTGTTTAAAGTTATTTTTTCTAATTCACTGTTTCTAACAGCTGGTCTTATTTTATATAATGTTTACTTTTTGTTCAGTTTAAAGAAATACAGTCCACTAAAAACATCATCTAGTTTTTCTCTCTTAATTATCTATCTACATCTATCGTTCAATCTAAGTTTATCCATCAGTATCTAAATTCTTTAATCATTTGGTCCTTCTGACCCGGAATAAATAAGTAATTAACAGTTATTTTTTCAATTCAGTTATAAAAGTAATCAAGAAAATTTCCTGTTCTCAGTTGAAGTTATGTCCCTAGAATCCAAACTAGGTCTTCAAGCAACACGCTTAAAAATCTTAGAAAAAGCCACAGACTATTTCAAGGAAAAGGATATATCAACTATATTGAAGCCTCAAGTACAAACCCGGATTGATGTTATCGAAGCAGAATGGAGGAAATTCGAGAGGGATCACGAGAAAATATGTGAGTCAAAAGCTGACATACTAAAAGACCTAGCCTACATAAATGAAGATCACTACAGTCAAGCCCTTGAAGCCTATATGGTAAGCAAATCTGCATTGCTTGTTCTCTTAGAAGAGTTATCGGTAAATTCTCAACAAAATCAAAGCACATCTGATATCAATACATCTAGTTCTATGAGTAAATCAAATCAACCTATACTACCTAAAATATCTCTACCTCAATTCTCAGGAAGTTACCAGTCTTGGAAACCATTCCATGATCTTTTTTCTTCACTAGTGATTCAAAATCCTAACTTAACTGATGTAGCTAAGTTACACTATCTAAAAACCAGTTTGTCTGGTGATGCTGCTCAATTGCTAATAAATTTCCAAATAACAGGAGAAAATTTCATGCCAGCTTGGGAAAAACTTGTGACTAGATATGAAAACAAACGTGTTTTAATCAAAAGGCATTTGGATGATATATTTAATTTAAAACCTCTAGAAAATAAATCTGCTAGTGGTCTCAATCACCTCATGTCTACTATCAATGAGTCTTTAGGTTCCCTCAAAGCGCTAGGATCTCCTACAGATAAATGGGATCACATCTTGGTGTACATGATTGTACAACGACTAGACCCAGAGACACACGAAGCATGGGAGATTCGTTACGGAGTCTCAACAGAACCCTCCACCCTAGAAGATCTTCAGACCTTCATCGAAGGTCGTATTCGAGCCCTGGAAAGTATTGAGTCACGAGCAACACCACCAAGCGATGTAACGGTAACTACACTACAATGTAAAGGTAAACCTCATCAAAATCTTAAAGTACATTCAGCACAAATTGTAGCAAAATCTCAGTCCAATATAGGAAATGATTGTCAACTGTGTAGTAAAGATCACTATTTAGCATTTTGCAAGGAGTTTCGTGAAAAAGTACCTAGTCAACGAAAAGAGGTTCTTGTGAACAAAAGATTATGTTTCAACTGTCTTGGTTCACATTTGTTAAAGGACTGTCGCTCAAATAAATCTTGTTTACAATGTAAGAAAAGACATCACACTCTAATTCATGACGCTGTTAGCCAGACTACAAATATACCTCATATAAAAAAGTCAAGTTCTCTCATCCCTAACAAATTCATCTCATCTACAGATAACACATCATCAAGCTCACACGTCTCCTCTAATCACATGCTTCCATTTAAGGAAATTAATCGACAATCTGTGCTCCTAGCAACCGCTCAAGTTAAGGTAATTGGTCCTGAGGGAAATAGTGTTATTGCCAGAGCTTTAATCGACCAAGGATCTGAAATCTCTTTCATCAGTGAATACTTAGTACAAACTCTCAATCTGAAGCGTTCATACTCCTCAGTATCTCTTGTTGGTATCGGTGGACATCAAGCCCCAACCACTCGTGGTATAGTTTCAATCAATCTTAGTTCTCTGTATGATACCAAAGTTAGCTGCTCTTTATCTTGTCACATCCTTTCAAATCTCACATCAAATTTGCCATCGATAACACCAAATCATTCATCGTGGAATCATATAAAGGGACTTCAACTAGCTGATCCTGCCTTCATGAAGTCTGAATCTGTAGATTTAGTCCTAGGAGCAGACATCTACACGTCTATTATCCTTCCTGGTCTAATTAAAGGTCCACCCCTCTCCCCAGTAGCACAAGCAACAATTTTCGGTTGGATCTTGTCTGGACCTACTGGAATGACGGAAAATAAATCTACCTCATCAATGTTTCATTGCTTGATTGAAAACAAACTTGATGATTTTCTTCAAAAATTTTGGGTACAGGAAGAAATTCCTCAAATTAAAGAATCAGTCAAGTCTCCTGATGATCAAGTATGTGAGGAACATTATCAATCAACCTTTTCTAGAGAACCTTCCGGTCGCTATCAAGTCCGACTTCCCCTGAAGGAAACAGTCAATCAGCTTGGAGAATCTCAATCGTCAGCCTTTCAAATTTTAACAAAGCTAAATACTCGTCTCTCAAACGATCTTGAGTACAAAAACTTGTATACTAATTTCATAGAAGAATACAAGGACCTTGGTCACATGTCTGAAACTATTGAAGAAATAGATTCTACCATTCCCATATATTACCTACCTCATCATGGTGTTTTGCGTCCTTCTAGCACGACGACTAAATTAAGAGTAGTTTTTAATGCCTCATTCCCAACTAGTTCAGGATTATCTTTGAATGACGTACTCTACAGTGGTCCAAAACTCCAAACAGAACTACCTGATATTCTCACTTGGTTTAGGCGCTATAAATTCGTATTTGTCACTGATATCGAGAAAATGTATCGCCAGATTCTAGTACATCCCAGTGATCGAGATCTTCAAAGAATTCTCTGGATGGAAAATGGTCATCTTAGAAAATTTCAACTACAGACTGTTACATATGGGTTATCATGCGCTCCTTTTCTCGCCCTAAGAACAATGAATCAGCTTATCGTCGATCACGGTGATGCATATCCCCAAGCTAGTGAAATGTTGACAAGAGGGAGATATATGGATGACATTTTTGGTGGTGCAGACTCGATTGAAGAGTGCAGAGAAGTAGTAAAACAGACTGACGAGCTTTGCAAATTAGGTTGTTTTCCTTTACAGAAGTGGATCAGCAATGATCAAAATGTACTATCATACATATCGGAAAGTAATTGCGAAAAAGGCAATTCCTTATTGATAAACAAATCCTCCAGTATACGTACTCTTGGACTTACATGGAATCGATTCAGCGACGATTTTCAGTTTCTTCCTACTCTAAGTCCAAAAGACAAATGCACGAAAAGAAACGTTCTTTCTCAAATAGGTCAGTTATTCGATCCCTTGGGTTTTGTCTCTCCTATTATCATAAGGTTCAAACACTTCATGCAACAACTTTGGCTAGTAAAAATTCATTGGGACCAACTTTTACCTAATCACTTGCAAGACCAATGGAAACTCCTTGAAGCTGACCTACAATATTTGCCATTAGTTAAAGTACCTCGTTATCTTGGTCTTACCCAACTATCTTCGGTAGAAATTCATGGATTTTCAGATGCTTCTAAGCTTGCAATGAGTGCTGTAGTCTACCTAAGAATCGTTAATCGTGAAAATATCACTGTTAGTTTAGTTATTTCTAAAACTAAAGTAGCTCCTCTAAAGACAATGTCGATTCCTCGACTGGAACTCACTGCTGCTACACTACTAGTAAAACTTGTAAAGTATGTTCGGAAAATGCTCAACTTAGAATCTACCCAAGCATGGTTATGGACTGACTCTATGGTTTCCCTAACCTGGATCACAAATCAACCTTCAAAATGGAAAGACTTTGTGCGTAACAGAGTAAGTGTTATACAAGAGACAGAACCGCTCGCTAAGTGGAGGTATGTAGCAGGAAATGAAAATCCAGCCGACTGTGCTTCACGAGGTGTTACTGCTAAAATCCTTAGCAACCATAAGCTTTGGTGGACGGGTCCTCCGTGGCTGAATAAAGATGTTTATGAATGGCCATCCACGACGTTTGATCCAGCTCAAGCAGCGAAATCTGAACTGCGAATCCCTCAATCAACTTGCCACATTTTAAACTTTGAACCAGAACCAGAAATGCTAGAGCGCTTCTCAACACTGTCAAAACTATTACGTGTTACTGCCTGGTGTCAAAAGTTCATTGCCAAAACAAAAAAATCCATCCCTACTAATTGTCAATCTTTTTTAACTCCTCAAGATCTCAACTCATCCCTTTTGTTGTGGGTAAAACTCATTCAAAAACATGCCTTCAAAAATGAGCTTGCGCGGTTACAAAACAACAGACCTTTAGAAAAATCTAATCTTATAAGTCTTAACCCCTTTGTCGATAACACTGGTTTAATGAGAGTTGGAGGCAGACTTGAACAATCTTCATTAGAATATGATTCAAAGCATCCTTATATCCTTCCGAAGAATTCTAAGTTCTCAAAACTATTGATAGATGATGCTCATCTCAGGACTCTGCATAGTGGCACCCGTTGTACACTTGCAACCGTTCGTCAGAAGTTCTGGGTTGTTGGAGGTAGACCTATCGTCAAACGAGAACTGTTAAAGTGTGTTACTTGTGCTCGTTATCGCTCTCAAAGAGCTCAACAATTAATGGGGCAGCTTCCTCCTACAAGAACATCACCATCACGTCCCTTTTTGCACTCTGGTGTAGATTACGCAGGCCCTTTTGTAGTCAAAACATGGCATGGAAAGAGAGCAAAAACCTACAAAGGTTATATTGCGGTGTTCATCTGCTCGGCGACCTCAGCTATTCATCTAGAGTTGGTTTCCAACTACTCAGCAGAAGCCTTCATAGCGGCTTACAAACGATTCACCAGCCGTCGAGGCATCTGTGCTACTTTAACGAGTGACTGCGGGACAACATTTGTAGGAGCTGACAAAGAACTGAAAAGATTGTTTTCCTCGTCTTCAGCAGAATCAGGTCAACTCAAATCCCTGCTTGCTAATGATGGAACTGAATGGAAATTCAACCCTCCTGCTGCTCCACATTTTGGAGGTCATTGGGAAGCTGGTGTTAAATCAGTTAAATACCATCTCAAAAGAGTTATGAAGACCCACCTACTAACTTACGAAGAATTTTCGACAGTGCTGGTACAAATAGAAGCTGTACTCAATTCTCGCCCTCTCTGCCAGCTTACAGAAGATCCAGACGATCTAGCAATCCTAACCCCTGCGCACTTTTTAGTTGGCGAATCTTTAACTACTATCCCAGAACCTAATCAAGAAAACCAACCCACATCAAGACTTACTCGGTGGAAATTAACTCGCCAAATGTTGGAATCATTTTGGAAGAAGTGGTCTCGGGAGTACCTTCAACAACTTCAAGCAATATACAAATGGAGATTTCCTTCCTGTTCAATAAAACTCGGATCAGTTGTTCTTGTTGTTGATGAGCAATTACCACCATCAAAGTGGCCGCTAGCAAGAGTGACTGAACTTCATCCAGGTCGTGATGGACTTACCCGAGTAGCCACTCTGAGAACATCAAGTACCTCATTGAAAAGACCAATAGTCAAGCTTTGTCCTCTTCCAATTGAAGTCAGTGATTAATATTTATTGCTCCTTCGGTGCAATGGGGGGGAGAATGTTTAAAGTTATTTTTTCTAATTCACTGTTTCTAACAGCTGGTCTTATTTTATATCATGTTTACTTTTTGTTCAGTTTAAAGAAATACAGTCCACTAAAAACATCATCTAGTTTTTCTCTCTTAATTATCTATCTACATCTATCGTTCAATCTAAGTTTATCCATCAGTATCTAAATTCTTTAATCAAGTATGAATTGTAGATACTTAAAAACTTCTACGAGTGTCGTTAAAGCTTCGCGACCACTAGGTCGGTATGGTTGGTATGGTATGGTCGGTATAGTATTTTTCAAAAGTTAAAAACATTGAATTAAATGAGCATGCGCCCGTGACGGCTGTCAACGGAATTCCGCACTTTTGGGATGTCGGACAGAAAGTTTGGAGCTACAAACTCCAGTACACTTCCCTGACGGCGGATCCATCCAACAAATCCAGTACGCGCGGGCTTCGGACGTTTAGGACTGTCGGTACGGCATTTTAAGCGATCTACGCAGTCTGCTCTCTGATCTCTGTTTTGCTTGTGTTCAGTTTGATTGCAATGGATGACGAAAATTCGTTTCCTCTCTAGATAATAGAGTTTCAGACTTGTCATGAGTCATCCAAAAGTATTTAAAAAAGTTAACGTTATCTTCCATAAGGTCTGGGGATAAAGTGCGGAATTCACCATAAAAAACGTTATTTGGTAATTCCATCAACCTTTCCCTATTGATATTGTGAATCCAAAACCTCTTTTTCTTAACTTAGCAGTCTCCACTACTTCTTATGTTGAAAATGCACTCACTAACGCAATGTCCTCCTCTGCATAAATCTTTTAACAGATCCGAAATTGACTTCTGTTTTGGCGAAAGGTGGATGGGAGACAGTGCCGAACGCCTGAACGGCGGAACCAGTGTACCCCCTTCTAAAAAGTGCCAAAACTGTCGTGACAGCCGTACCAGCCTTACCGAGCCAGTGGGCACGTGGTTTAAGTCTATTTACGCGAGTTGCGTACACTACTTTACCTACGACAGTTTTTTAATTACTAACAATCACTATTCATAACTTGAGGGATCATATTTCTGTTTATAACCTTCCATTGCCACTAACAGTGATGCAACGACTCATTTTACTAACCACTAATTGCACCACTCATTAACAATTAAATTGGTCTTAAAAGCTGTTAAGTTGAAGTTCAAAGCATTAAAATTTAACTTTTTTCTGTGAATCCTTGAACCTCATTCGTCCGTTACTCGTCTTGTTAAGTAAAACAATGATGTTATAATTTTTATAAACTTACACTTTTTATAAACACAGCAATTTAGGCCTAAGAAAAAATGCTGTTATTCGCCAAGATGGATGGGTAATGATGAACAACAATTAAATCCCATTATTATACTTTATTATACACAAACTTTTTTCATACCTTATTTATAATTGAATAATCGCTAAGACGTTCACAATTTTATCCTATCAATAATCTAATATAATCATTGCTGGGTGTGCTCTCTGATATTTGGAATGGTTTGGAATATTAGCCCTGGGTAAAGGTTTAGAATTGAGAGAATTGTAACATTTTAAATTGAATTTGCTGACTGGACAATACCTGAGGGACTACATACATCTTAGAAGGTATTTTGCCAGCACGGGTCGACAGAAGAAATCCATCCCTCGCGCTAACACTCCTGGATTCACCATAACCAAAATTGCCTTATTTGGGGAATCCTTGAAATGGTTGGTGTAATCGAGGAAAGATATGTGCAACAACAGGATGCACATATCTGTAAAATACCACATGACAACTGATAATACTAAGCGGACCTACTCTCATCCAATTTCAATAAGATTTTTAACAAAAAAGAACATACATTTTCACAAATTAAGTTTTTTCACCAACTTGTACAGTAATTGAATTGATATCGAAGTATAATTGGTTCTCGTGGAGAAAAGATTTTTCTCCTTCCATAAAAAGCTTGACTTTCCCCTGTAAAGGGGTTTACTAATGTTGGCTTATAAACAGCAAATGTGAATGTGTGTGGCAAGTTTGTCAACATCGAAATTGTAGCAAACCTTTTTTTTTTCTAAAAACATTCTTAAGTAGTGAGGTGTTAAAACAACATTCCTGGTGTAATAAACCTATGCACACTGACAAGATAAAAATATAAGATCTTCTGTTGTCGTAAGTTCAGGTTTGTTTCCATTGAATGACTAATATTGATATAGTTCTTGAATCTGGATAATCTGAAAATAATTGAACCAGACCCAACATGGAAGCGAATCAAAACTATATTTCATCCTTTTGCCTATTAAGTGTTCTCAGGGAATGAATACTACGAAAGTAAAATCTGGTGATTCTTGTTGTGGATAGCCTATAACATGTAAGAGAGGTTTTGTAGTCGTGGTTTGTCAAACAATTCACGATCAAAGTTAACTTGACCAGGGTTCTATCAGCAATTAGTATTTTGACAAATCCAATATATACTTCCATATATTTTAAACTGTCAGTATATATTTAAGAGTCAACTACTTATTAAAAAAAGGGCTTTACTTCCTTTGATGTTCATATATATGTACATAGACTGTGTTGTAGCTGTTTGTCAATTTCTTGAGTAGTGGTCATAGTATGCCAATGTAGATTGTAAATGTGCTTATTACCTGTGGGCGTTTGTAGCTGTATAGCTGTTCATTTTTTCTCTTTTAACGATTCCGAATTCTTTATCACTTGATGTTTTCTATTGAAGTTGTAAATGAAAGGGTTTATCAAAAAACATGCCTGTTATCCTAACTATATTTTCACAGGAAACCTTACCATGAACGATTATAGTATATTTATTTACAAGTAGCAAACTAGGAATTTGATGGTGTGCAAAAAAATGACACAAAGAGTATTTACTATCAAGCAGGTGCTATCATAATAGGAATGGCATGTTCCCTTTAAACTATATCTCATCATCCTGTATACGATTTATTGATTAACAAAAATGCATGCAAGCGTCACTATTTACGTAACAGCCAATTTACAATATTTGCTTTTAGCGAATTTCCCCATATATTGAATAAGCTATTACCGTAGTACTCATGGTAAGACCTGGACCCGGGACCGATTTACTTTCTCGTTTTCAGGTCCCTAGAGGCCAAAAACACGATCCGTCCAAATTCATATATATATATATATATATATATATATATATATATATATACAGGGTGAGTTTTAATTGTCCCCCCCCCCAACTTTTTTCTACATTTTTTCAAATATCAATCCCAGACCACTTCCAAACATTGTTGGGTAGTAAGTACTTCATTTTGACAAGGTGGTCATTTTCGATCGCCATCTTGGATCCGCCATATTGGATGCAACATTTTTTTTTTCAAATGTAAAGGTGGGGTTGTGACCCATTATTTCGAACTACATTTTTACCTTGATTACAATGCCTCAAACCTTTTTTAAAAATCTTGATTCATTCTAAAGTTACGATGGCTTTTTAAAACTTTATTTTTAGCCCATTTTAACATTGTGCATTTACAAACTAAGACCATAATCCCAAAATAGTGGTAGATAATGATAAGTATACACTACCAGTAATTGTCCAACTATTTTCACTTGGTTATGACTGATGTATTTTTTTCGGCCGCCATCTTGGATCCGCCATTTTGAAATGTGATAAATTATTTTAAATATGAATGGGGTGTTGTGACCCATAATTTCGAACTACTTTTTTAAGCTGAACTTATTTCCATAATCCGTTTTTTATTTTCATTTTTTTATTTTGAAATATTGACATTTTTAGCAAAAAATTTCAATATTTCATAAATAAAACTTGATAACAAAAAATGGATTGCGGCATTGAGTTTAGCTTAAAAAAGTAGTTCAAAATGATGGGTCACAACACCCCCTTCATATTTAAAATAATTTATCACATTTCAAAATGGCGGATCCAAGATGGCGGCCGAAAAAAATACATCAGTCATAACCAAGTGAAAATAGGTGGACAATTACTAGTAGTGTATACTTATCATTATCTAGCACTATTTTGGGATTATGGTCTTAGTTTGTAAATACACAATGTTAAAATGGGCTAAAAATAAAGTTTTAAAAAGCCCTTGTAACTTTAGAATGAATCAAGATTTTTAAAAAAGGTTTGCGGCATTGTAATCAGGGTAAAAATGTAGTTCGAAATAATGGGTCACAACCTCACCTTTACATTTGAAAAAAAAATGTTGCATCCAATATGGCGGATCCAAGATGGCGACCGGAAATGACCACCTTGTCAAAATGAAGTACTTACTACCCAACAATGTTTGGAAGTGGTCTGGGATTGATATTTGAAAAAATGTAGAAAAAAGTTGGGGGGGGGGACAATTAAAACTCACCCTGTATATATATATTTATTTATTTATTTATTTATATATGTGTCCGTTAGCGTGATAACTCGAGCAAAAATCATCCGATTTTGATGAAATTTCGTACAAACGAGTTTACTACGTTTATTCGAACGAGTTCGCGAACCAGCATAATCGGACTATGGGAAGAGGGGTTTATGGGGGGTTTTATGGGGTAAAAATAGGGTTTTCCCATTTTAGACCCTAAAAACATAACTTTTGAAATTTATTTCCCGACCATTTTGTAGAGCTTAAAAAAATAAATAATCTAGTATATTGAATATTGAATATTGAGTATATTGAATCTAGTATAATTTAGTATATTGAAGCATTGTTTTAACCTAATGGTTGCGGAGAAAATTCAAAAAAGTGTAAATTTGAAATTCCCAAGGAGAAAATTGTAAACTGTTTTAGTTTACTTGTTTATGAGCATATCTAGATCAAATTTGGAAAATGCATTAATTTCATACTAAACTACAGTATTAACATTTTACAAAGATAAACACCTTTTTACCCTCCCTGTTGCAGCAAACCTAAGTACTCGTTAAACTAATGCTATTTATTTATGGAATAAATGTGATATTTTTAAGGAGACATTTTAGTGTAAATC